TATATATATATAGGTAGTGTCAAAACTAGTTTTTTCTATCTTTTCTTTAGTTGAAGGTCTATCGAAAACAGTATCTCTGTTGTTTTAAGGTAGGGATAAGGCTACATACATCCTAACCTCCCCAGACCCCACTTATGAGAATGCACTGGGTTGTTATTGTTTTTGTTGTTGTTGTTGTGTCTGGATTAGTTTGTGCGATAAATACATTAGTTGCATAGAAAACAAAATTGAGCATACTAAAATTGTGTATTGTTATCAAATTAAGTTAAATATGAAATTACATGATACTGAATAAGGTGCACTGGTAGTCAATATACACACTTCAATTATTATGAGGAGAAGATTTGATGTAAACTAATGTAGGGACATAATGGATTATTAAACAGGAAGACAATAGGATGATAGAAAGAAAATAAGAAGGATTAGTTTAGATTGGATCCTTTTCTTGTCTTATGATATACTTTGATGATATTGAGAATTGGGGTTATCTTAGTGAAAGAAGTAAAGAAAAAGGGAAGACTGAGGATTTGCAAGCATAATAAATTTAAAAATTCAGTGACGGAGTCACATATGACAATGAAGTTGAAATTGTTTCGCCGAAAATTTATACAAACATATGTAAAACAGATTAAATAAAATGTATATAACAATAGAAAATAATACAAGTTCAAATTTCAGGTGTAGTATTTTTGAATTTTTTTTGAAGTTGTTAGGATTTTTGGCTCCGCCACTATAAAATAAAAATAAGAGCATTAGGAAAAAAGAAAAGAAAAATGAGAAGGATTTCTTCTTCTAGGAGCTCTTTTTGACACATGAATAATACAAAGTGCAGCAACTCTTGAGGCAGTTGGTGAGGCAAAACATAGAAAATCAATCCATTCCCACAACTTTTGCCTGATGAAACAAAAAAAGAAAAGAAACTTAACCCTACATCCTTTCATAGCTAGCTGTTTTAATTTTAAAAAATGACAGCTCGGCGCACAAAATAACCCGCATTCAAGGCAGGATTAAGATAAGGGTTGCATCCCAAGGGGTGTGATGTGAACATCATACTCTAATACAAGCATTATTGACTGCTTTTACAGCTCGAATCTGTAACATATACATCACACGAAGATAATTTTACCATTGTTCCAAGGCTCCCCTTCATTTGTTTAATTTCTATTTTTTATATTGGGCCCGCCCAGTAATTCAAATTTCACGTGTAAAAATTTTGAATTTTTTCGTATTTTCTTGTTAGAATTGTTGGCTCCGATCCGCCACTAATACGAGCATTAAGAAAAAGAAAATAAAAGAAAAAAGATTTCTTTCTCCTAGGATCTTTTTTTGACACTTGAGTTGTACAAAGTGCAGCAACTCTTGAGGAGTTGAGGTGATTGAGGCAAAACATAGAAAATCAATCACATTCCCACAACTTTTGTCTGATTTTAAAAATTAAAAGAAAAATTAATAATTTCTATTTTTTAATTATTGATTGGGCCCCCAAGTAATATACCCTTCATTAGTGCATTTTTAAGTGATGTAGACAACCACTTTCTCCCGTTTAAAAAATTAAGAAAAATTAACCCAATATTTATTTTGTCATGGGGTAGAAACTTGGAAAATGGTCACCTTCCACTAAAGTTCCTATGAAGCAAATATTGAGGTTGAAGATTCTATGGTTTGGAGAAACTTTAATATGTCTCTCCCTCAAAGTTCAAACATCAGTTGGTGAAAGCTAGCTAGCTCCCTCTAAGTGAGGCAATCATGATAAATTGATGGAACAAATTAAAGTACCTTTCATAGTAGCTAACTAGTAAATATTTAACACCACCAAAAGCCCCACTTCCCCTAAAAGATTAGATAAATGAACCATAAAAAAAGTAGAGAATTTAAATTATATATATGGATATAGTGAATGACTTTTTTTAGCCGAGAATCTATCGGAAATTGCTTCTTACCTTCTTAAGATAGGGATAAGGTCTGCATACACACTATCCTTTTGAGACAATTATGAATTCCATTCAGTTTCCTTTACTTGATCGAACAACCCAAAATTCAGTTATTTCAACTACATTAAATGATCTTTCAAATTGGTCAAGACTCTAGTTTATGGCCGCTTCTCTATGGTACCCGTTGTTGCTTCATTGAATTTGCTTCACTAATAGGCTCACGCTTCGACTTTGATCGTTATGGACTAGTACCAAGATTGAGTCCTTGACAAGCGGATCTAATTTTAACAGCCGGAACAGTAAAATGAAAATGGCCCCCTCTTTAATGAGATTATATGACCAAATGCCTGAACCAAAACATGGATTACATTAGATTTTTTGTTGTTGTTGTTGACTTGTTATTGATATTGTAAATTCAAACATGTTTTGAAAATATTTTCCGTAAGCAGAGAGTTTATCAAAATTCCCTCTCTACCCCCACAAAGGTATAGGTAAGGTCTATGTATATCTCACCCTCTCCAGACCCCACTTGTTGAATCATACTAGGTATGTTTATGTTGTTGTTGTTTGGATATTACCTTTTATGAGATCAATGCAGTTTAATACATTATAGCAGATCGGTTACCAATTTGAGTACTCCAATATTTATCGTAAAAAGTTATTTATATATACTTTATAAGTGATCTTATTAAAAGGGCAATGATTTAATACTGGAGTCATATCACATGCCTTGATTCCACTATAGTCCAATCAAGTTTACATGTTGTACCCAAAAATTAACATGGAGCAAATGGGATCTTGATTTGGCGCAAATTTTGCTATTAATGGTGAATCAGATTATTTGAAGTTAGTGGGTTATGCAATCACAAACCCTTTAAACTTATCTTCATTGTACTTAATAAGTACTCTACTATATGCTTATTATTATTAATCCCTCTGTCCTATTTTTTTAGGGTGTTTGATTACTGCACCGAAATTCTAAAAGAAATATTTGAAACACGCCATGCAAATTTGTCATAATATTTTTATGGTTATAATAATAACGTTTTCATTCTTGTTGTTTGAGACAAACTAAATATATATATATATATATATATATATCACATAAAATAGGTAGAGCCAATAGCTTTTATATAACAATTGAAGAGCAATGAATTTTTTATAACCAGTAATCACAAAAATAGTAGAGCTTTTTTTAGTTTTAACCCGCGCAACAAACTATTAACATTTAATAACCGAAAAATATATAAAATTTGTATTATTTTTATATATAATATACATAATATATATATATATATATATATATATATATATATATATAGAAAAATATATATATATTTCGACAATTATTTTGAGAGCGGCTATACAATGTCATTTTTCCAAAATAATACCAAATTGTATACGTAAAAGTTAACTTCTTTATGATTTGTACCCTACCCACCGTTATATTGATAATGTGTATTGATTCTTCTTTCTTCTTTTTTTTCTTCCTTTGAGTGAAAAAATAAATAAATAATGTGAAAATGTACAAGATTCGGAATTTTCGGGATAAATTTTGATGAAATTTACAGACTTAATTGCAAATCCAATCCAAATGGGTCATCAAAATTGGGCCCAATATCCACTCTCGACAACTTACTCAATGATGGCCCATTATTTACATCAACTCTACCACTATGGGCCTTAACATGTTGAGGCCCAACACTTGCTAAGCTGGACTCCACTACACCGCCAGTGTACTGAAAGTTCCCTACACCTCTTACACTATTGGACGTTGGAAAAACACAGCCATGAAAGGGAGGCGCGGCACGTGGTACGTACACCCACGACGGAGATGACGCCGGAACCACCATGGTACCGGGCGGAGTAAGGAGGTGAGATGGCGAAGCGAAGGCGGAGATGATAGGGTTTCGCATGTAAGCGTTACGACTAGCTTGAATTTGGGCACGTTTCAATTGTTGCCTTTCTTTTTTGTGTGCATTTTGATGGCCACCTAAAGCTTGTGAGTTTGCAAATTCTCTACTGCAGTATTGACACTCGTATTTCCGGCCGTCGGAAGCCGGGAAACTGCCAGATTCCGGCGAGGCTGATGATGTTTTTGTAGAGTCAACTTCTTGTTCTTGATCTTCCTCTGTACTCATGTTGAAACCAAATAACTTTAAACGTCCATTATTCGTAGGATTATAAGTACCATGTTTACTCTGAAACTCCAATTCTGCCATGTATTTGTGTATATATACGTAGTGTGTGTGTGTGTGTGTTTTCAGGGAGAATAGACAGAGAAAGTGAGACAGAAAAAAATAGAGAATGTTGAAGCAAAGGAGAAGGCGCAAGGGAAATCGTTTGCATGTGTAGGTTATTATATATACAACTCTGGAAGGGATTAAATTTATTGTTTATTTAAGCAAATAGAATATTTTATCAATATCAAAGTAAGAGAGAGAGAGGGTGTGTGTTGCGGACATCCCAAGGAGAAGAAAATAAGTGTAAAATTTAGGAACAAGACCAAGATCACTTGGACCTAATACACCGAAAATACTTAATTATCCGAGTTTACAATATTATATCAAATTAAATAATTCTAATTTGAGAGGGATTTAAAAAAAAATTAAATAATTTATCTGTAACATTTAAAATATTTGTATAGTTCATTGAGCTTAGAGTTTATCGGAAATAACTTGTTTACCTTCCTAAGATAGAGGCAGGGGTGGCAAAATGGTTAAAAGAAAACAGTTAACCACTCATATTATCCACTAAAAATGGGTTGGATAATGAACTTTTTAAAAACGGGTCAAATATAGATAAGAACCATATTATCTATTTAGAAAATAGATAATTAATTGGTTTAACTTTTACATTTGTAAAACCTCAAATTGGAGGTTCCTCAAGTTTGGGAGACTAGAAATTCTCCCAAAATGATCATCCGTATTAAATATGGGTCGAGTCAGATAATTTATCCATTTTTTCATTACCCGTTTTCGACTCGTCCCATATACGACCCGACCCTCCCGTTTGTCACCCCTAGTTAGAGGTAAAATCTGCATACATATTACCCTCCTCAAACCCAACTTATGAGATTTCACTTGGTTTGTTATTGTTGTTGTTAATTTTGATATACGACTCAAACCATGAAATAAAGAACTTTTCAATATGGAGCTATTACTTTCTTAGTAAGTTTACGCGGAGTAAATTTGAATTAGTCAGGGTAGTAATACTAATATAGAAATAGTTATTCCGAAAAGAAGAAAAAAAAAGAACATACTCGAACTTCCCATTTTAAAAAATTTTGAAGTTACAAAATACTGAGTTTTTTTGTAAGAAATGTCTCTGAATAAGTTTTACTTCCGAGATTTTGCATTAGGTGTGGGCATAATACCGGTCGAACCAAAAAAATCGACCGAACCGTGAATTTTGGTTTTTCGGTTTCAGTTTAATCGGTTATTCGGTCAGTTTGCGATTTTTAATTTATTAGAATTTGATTTTTCGATGCGGTTTACGGTTTTGGTGTTTCGATTTTCGGTTAAACCGAAAAACCGAAATTTTGGGCCTCAAAACATTGTATGTAAATTACTAACTTAATGTTCTGACTTCTGAAGAGTGAAGCCCACCGCCCCACCCCATCTGAAATTTTAAAGGCCCAATACTATTACCTAAACCTTAAGCCTAATTAGCCTAACCCAAACTTTCCCTTTCCATTTCCCATCTCCCATTCTTCCCTTCCTTACGTTTACTCCTTAGAAATTAGGGTTCGACTGCTGGTCTGCTGCGTTGCGTCTATGCGACTGTAAGCTCGTCGTCTTTCTCTGTCACTCTATCTGCCGACGCTTATCCTTCTTCCTCAGCTCGTCGTCTTCTTCCTCGGGTTAGTGGTTACCTTGATACCTTCTTCTTCTTATGAGTTTTCCTTCTCCATTTTTTGTGTTCTTTTAAATTTGTTAATGGCGGTAGCAATCGATTTCCAGATTTATTCTCCATTTTTGTGTCCTTGAGTTATTCTATAAAATTTGGTAAAATTTCCTGTTTTCAAAGGTTGGACCTAAAGTTAAACTTGTGAGACTACATTATCCTAGATTCTAAAGAAGTGTTGTGGCTTCCCATATCACAAAATCACATGCATGTTGAATGGTGATGTATTGTATCTAAAGGATGACTAAAAATTTGAACCTGGGAACCTTATTTGAACGTACATCCTAGATTAATCCTTCTTAAGTTGCTCTATTTTGAGCTTATGGTAAATTGCATCATCTAATTGTAATTGATAAGTGAGAAACATATATCATTTTTAATATGTATTAGAAGCATTGGCTGAAACTGTTAACTTCTAGTTGATGGTCTCTGTGACTTTAGTTGAATTCTTCATTGTATTAACATTCTTTTGACTCAATGTTTTAGTACTGAAATTTCTGATCAGTACTTTAGTTTACTCAATTGTGGACTGAAATATACTAGACAAAAGAATGTTAACCAGTTTGCATTTTTAATTTTGTTGTCATTCGATTTTCTATAGATGGCAGGAGTTGAAAGTAGATTAAGTGAGGTGGGTTCATCTGAAAGCGAACCTACTTCTTCACCTACAAATTCAGTTGAAACTAGTCAAGGCCAAAAAAATTCGTACAATGTAGATCAACTGCTTGGGATCATTTTGAAGAGTTTAAAGATGATAATGGAGGTGATAGAGCAAAGTGTAAACATTGTGGTTGTGATTATAAAACCGATTTACGATTGAATGGAACAACATCATTGAATACTCATTTAAAGAAGTATCCAAAAATACCACGGAAAGTTGATAATACTCAAACACAATTGTGTTTACAAAAGGATGGGCAAATTAAAGGATGGGCAAAAAAAAATCCGTACAATATAGATCAACTGCTTGGGATCATTTTGAAAAGTTTAAAGATGATAATGGAGGTGATAGAGCAAAGTGTAAACATTGTGGTTGTGATTATAAAACTGATTCACGATTGAATGAAACAACGTCATTGAATACTCATTTAAAGAAGTATCCAAAAATACTACGAAAAGTTGATAATACTCAAACACAATTGTGTTTACAAAAGGATGGGCAAATTAATGGTGGGGTGATTTGAAAATTTGAACAAGAACTAGTTACGAGCTCACCGAAAAAGTTTTAGGTTCACGTTATGTCACTTCTAATTGTCATTTTGAAGATATATGTGAGCTTGATAGTCATTTGAAAGCTTGTTTAGCTAGTGATAATACTAATTTGAGTAAGATGGCAGGGAAGATGAAAGAAAGTGTTAAAAAATATTGGGATGAACCGAAAAAGATGAACAAAATGATATTCATTGCTTCTGTATTAGATCCTCATAACAAATTAGAGTATGTTAGTTTTGCACTTGAGAAAATATTCGGGAAAGGACCAGGGAAGAAATTAACTGCCGAAGTGGATGCTTATTTGAATTTTTTGTTTGGGGAGTATCAAAAAATATATTCCAAAGGATGTTATCTTCAATCATCTCCATCTAAATCTATTTCATCTGATGACACATCTGAGCCATCTAGTGGGAATGTGAGAACAAAATTTGTGAGAACAAAGCAATTGTTGAAAAGGCAAAAGGAAGACTCCGGAAGTGTAGGTGCTAAATCTGAGTTGGAAAGATATATTGGTGAAGGACAAGAGTCATTGTCTAATGATTCTGATAACTTTAAAATCTTAGATTGCTGGAAAATTAATGTGCCTCGGTTTCCTATTCTATCCGAGCTAGCTCGTGATGTATTAGTCATTCCAATTTTAAGTGTTGCATTGGAATGTGCATTTAGCACCGGTGGCCGCATTCTTAATTCATTTAGGAGTTCATTAACTCCTCGGTTGGTGCAAAGTCTTATTTGTGTTCAAAATTGGTTTAGATATGAGGGTACTCCTATTAATGTTGAAGAAGATTTGGAGTTTCTTGAGCAATTTGAACTTGGTAAGATTTTGTGTTATATGAGTATTTTAGTAAAAACTAGTTTACTTTGTAAGTTTAAATGACACACTTTATCAAATTATATTTAGATATGGCAACGAGCGGAAGAGAAACTTGCATTGTTGAAAGAGATACTAGCATTGTTGATGCATAGTTTGAACAAGTGGTAAGTTTAAAGATTTACTTATTTTATGATATTCTTTTGTTATTTATAATTAAAAATATTTTATTAACTTGTGATCTTTTCTTCTTTTTTGTAGGTTTAACTATGCTTCGTGGTCCTAAAGCTAAATCGCCTATTTGGGAATATTTTGAGCTAGTTGAAGTAAATGAAGAAGCCCGCAAAGCAAAGTGCCTTCATTGTGGTCCAGTTTATAATTGTCATCCAAAGTATTTTGGCACTTATGGCTTAGTGAAGCATATTAAGAAGTGTCTTATGCCTCATCCAGTGATTCGTATTTAAGACTTTACGTATCATTTCTAGACTTACTTTGTGGCTTGTGACTAGTTTGCCACTCTTTTGTTGTTTGGTGATTGTATTTCTAGACTTGTTTTGGACTTTGGTAGCTGCTAGATTTGCCATTGCCACTGTGTTAAACTGTTTTTGGACTAGTTTGCCTTTGCCACTGCCTAACTGTTTAGGTGTTCTGTTTGCACGTTCTTTGTGTGCTTGTTCTCTTAGTCTATTATTGGTTTCATTTATAATGTAGTTACCTTTGTATGTGTTAGTATGTGTTATTGTCAGCAAAAATTGTGTTAGACAGTAGACACTTAGATGTTCCTACAAACCGCAACTATTGTCACTTTGTCAGAAGTCAGCACGTTCTCCAGCAAGATCGTGTTAGACAGCAAGTGTCTACATCAACACATTCTCCAGCAGTAGCAAGTAGACACTTAGATGTTCCTACAAAAATTGTGTTAAACAGTAGACAATTAGATAGTCAGATGTTCCTATAAACAGTGGACAGTATACACTTTAATATTTATTGTTGTTCCTACAAACTGTAAATACTTCGTTGTTCCTACAACCGTTTAAAACCGAAAATATAAACAGGAAATAATCGAACTGAACTTTGAAAAAACTGCACCGAACCGTAAATAATTTGGTTTGATTTGGTTATTAATATTACAAAACTGAAAACCGATAAATCGAACCGTAATTTTATAATAACCGACCAATGCCCACCTCTAGTTTGCATTCAGAGACTCCTAATTAGTGCAGCAAATTAATTTATCTATCTATCTATACTATATTAAAAGCATGAAGGTCATTATCGAAATGTCGTTTGCCTTTTTTGCCCTTTAAAAACAGATTTCAAATTGGACAAATTTGTAATTGTAATTTACTTATATTCCTAATATTTAGGACTTTAAAAATTAACTAATTTTTATTTATTAAATTATTCCTTATTTGAACTAG